AACCAGGAAGCACATGGTGTTTCCTGTCTCTCCTGCTACCTTGCAGGAAATGCCTGGCTTTGGCTCATCCAGGATGTATTGGCTGAAAATGCCAGCAGAAGAGACAGAGGAGGAGCTCCCACCACATCCAGACAGTGCGGGGACTTTGCCTGGCCAGGTGACTTCCTTCAAATCCTTCACTTCCTCCTGTGTTCCTATTCAAAGTTATATCTATACCTTAATAGCACACTCATAAATTTTACTAGTCCATTTAGATGTGAAGCCTAATATCAATAAATAGTAAATACTTTCACTTAAAATATTCATTTCTTTTTAAAATTCTTCCATATTAAATCATTACTGTCCTCCTAAAATAATGAATTATTTTACAACTATCAGAAAGATTATTTCCATTTTTTCTACTAGAGAACAGAAAGAAAACCAATAAATTTGGAGCTATAGAGAAAAGAGTAATATAACTAAACGTTAAATAAAATAGCTAATATTGATTGTACTTTTATTACTGTGTTAGTTCAGACCCTCCAAGAAGCAAGTGCCAAGATAGGATTAGATGGGAAAGACATGTGCTGAGACAAACACTTGTGAAGGATAAGGAGGCAGAGAGTTGGTGAGAACTTATCTTACTTAGATCTAAATAGATTTGTCTGAGTTTTGACAACTCTTTGTTTTACTTTTGGCTACTTAATTTTATTTTTTTATTAATAAAAAAATAACTAGCAAATTTGCCATAAAAATTCATCATAATCAGACATTGGCATATGAATTTGTTTTTATTATAATCATGTGACATTATAATAAAATGACCATTCCCAGACCATTCCCAATGTGACAAACCGGAGGATTTTCTCCTGTTGATGAAACTCTGCCATCAAGCCAGTGTAGGCATAAAATGATTAAAGCTGCAGTTACATGAATATAATGTTTATTACTATGTATGAACATGTAGGCATAAAAATGTCTCTGCTCTCAGGGCCCAAGTCTACAATTCCAGTGCTAAATGGGAACCTTAGGCATTCATATAAGCTTGGCAGAATAGTGAAGGGCAGGTGAGAGTAGTGAGAACATGGTTTTAAGGTTTTAATTTAAAATTTTCAATATTTAATTCTTCAATATTTTTCCTCACTTGAACATGGAGGCCATTCTGCAGGTTTAAACAAATATTCACATACTCATAATAGCAATTAAGAGAAAACATTTTAAACATGTTGGATTACATTAAGAATCTAAAAACAAACAAAATACCAATCACTACCTTGAATCTTATGAGTATTATTTCAGCCCTCAGGATCCCAAATGATATATAAATTTAAAGCAGAGGACTCACAGAAGCACAATAGAAAGGAACATTAGTTTAGGAGCAGCTGTACAGTAATGCCAGTTTTCATGAAAATGAAAAATAGCACATTCAATCAGAGCCTATAAGCTCCACTTCTCACCCCTGATTATCTCATGGCTAAACCAAAAGGTTCTCCCATGTTTTCTTCCCTTCGCATTTGGGCCCAATCCTGCAGTCCCAGATTAAAGGCAAAGAAAAGACATGAATCTCAGTCATGTTATCGGCTTTCTAAATCTAAATTCGAAACTCATATTCATTCAAAGTCAATGTGGACAGTATATCACGAGGGAGAGTGTTTTGTTCAAGGAACCCAAAGAAAGCAAACTAATTATAACTTGTATTTACATAGCACCTAACTTAGGAGAAGTTCAAAGCAAATGCACGTGTGAGAAATGTCAAACCCACCAGCCAAACAGGAAAGCCGTGGAGCTTCTTTTCCATTCCAAGTCATCCATATAAGGTGGGGTTTCCTTTTATGTTTAAGTTTAGACATCATCAGAAAAGTCAAACCACAGAGAATGATGAAGGTTGTGCTAAAATGTGGTTGATGTTTATGTCTTCTATGCCCAGCACAGCCCTTTGGTGGAAAGTCTGAATCAGCTCCTCAGAGAACTTTCCTTATTGTCTCAGAATTAGAAGCATTTATTGCTAAAAAATAAAATGAAGTAAAATAAAATAAATGTAGCACTCTTGATAAAGCCCTGCTTGATACCTAAATAGTCAAATAAATCATTAGTATGATCTTAAAGGCTGCTAATAAAAATTCTTTAAATCCTGAAACTGTCAATAGAATAATGAGTTAGAATCTATTCTTGTTTCTTTCTTATAAGGGACAATCCTAATATATAAAACCTTGGGTCCATCACATCCACAACGACCAGAGGGCTCGACCAACCAGAAGTCAGTCCTGCAGTCAATGCTGGGTTGCTGTGGTGAACCAGCACTGGCTACCACAGCTGCAGGCATGGTGACCCAGCACTGACCACTGAGGGAGTTGCTAATCGGCCTGAAGAGAGGCAGGAAAAGAGAAGCAGGGTTTGATCCATAGCCTCTGTGGCAGCTTTTGATCAGCACTTGCCTCTCTCTTTCTTTCTGGGCCTGGCCAGCAGCCAAATGTTCATTTTTCTCCAAGTCTCCACCGGAACTGCTAATCAGCCCCATCTTTCTGATCAGTCCCCGTTGATAGGCCCAGAGATGCTGACGGGCAAAAAAACCGACCAATCAGAACTAAATCTGTATAAAGTATGAGGAGCCAATGGCTGCCTAGAAGGTGGAGCTTTTGATGCTGACTGGTATAGAAACTGACCAATCAGAACCAAATTGGCAGGCAGAGCCGGCAAATGGGGGTGAGAACAGGCCAGAAGGGGAGGGCAGTTAGGAGTGAACAGGCAGGCAGAGGCAGTTAGGGCAAGATCAGGCTGGCAGGGGAGGGACATTGGGGACAAGATCAGGCCAGCAGGGGAGGGCAGTTGGGATCAACTAGGCTGGGAGAGGAGAGCAGTTGGGGGCTTTGTGATCAGAACATTGTGTTAACATATTGTTATCATAGACATACTAAATAAACTAATTCCTTTAGCCACTATTGGGCATAAGCTAAATGCATTGGAAATCCCTCTTTCTTGATACCGGAAAGCACAAAGAAGGAAGAATGAGCTACAGATTTTAAAAGCAGAATTCAGAAGGCTTACTAGTAATTATTGCAGGTAACTACAACTCAATGTCTAAGCAACTACCTATTCCACTAAACATTTTCTTTTACAGCAAAATAGAGTTAACTATATCTCAACCTATAGTACATTAATCTGGAAGTGAAAAATCATAAATGCCTAATGATATCCACTGGAAGTCTAATTGATCTTTCCAGAAAGTAAACTCCAGATGTGTGCATAATTATTCTTCAAGTCAACCAAAAAAAAAAGATTAAAGCCACATCTGTCCAGATAAAGCAAACCATGTTTTAATGTCACTCTATAATAATAAGCAACATGACTAAGTATCCACATCTGTTATTCCTTTGTTTTTCTCCTTTATCAGCAAATAAAGAGAAAACATGAAAGAAGTTAATTAATCTTTAATCAAAAAAAAAAAAAATACCCCACCTTTTGCTTATTGATATTGGCAAACATATTGCTAAGCTCTAGATTCAAGAGAACTTATTAATATCTGAAGACCAAAATACAATAACAACATTCAAATGCTTTGTCTTAGCTGGTTTGGCTCAGTGGATAGAATGTCAACCTGTGGACTAAAGGGTCCCGGGTTTGATTTTGGTCAAGGGCATGTATCTCAGTTGCAGGTGTGCGAAGGATTGTGTGTGTCTCTCTCACACCAGGAGTGAGAAAAAAAAAAAAAAAAAAAAAGAATTCCTCACTACTTACATGCCTGCCTCCACCCCAATAGTCTCTTATTGCTTCAAAAAATAAAATAAAATTAGCTGCTGCTGCTTTGCTTAAAAAGAATATTATGGCTAGTTAAACTCTAAATTAATTCTCTTTATACTAAAAAGCAGAAAATATTCAATAGATTTTCTAAGTATATAATAAACAAAGTGGTACTTAGATTTTTATTTTTAACTGGTATTCATTATTTTGGTTTAGTTTATTAAATGTCTGTATTAAAAGGGAAATGTTCTGCATACCTTTGGCTGATTAATGACTCTCCTACAAAGAGGAGAGTCCTTCATCAAAGTCATGTGACAAATGAAAGTATAATGAGAAGCATGAAGGTTTTCTGACTTCTAACAATGTTCCATTCATCAGGTCAGACTCATTTTTTTATTAAGCATGAAAGAAAGCATGACAAATGTGGAATCCCTTCCAAACCAGCCTTCTCTACCTCCAAAATGTCTTTACCATAAAACCTGAAATATTTCCTCTTTTTACAGAACCAAGCAAGCACTAGTTTTATGAAAACCATAGCTGGGTGTGTATGTGTATATAACAGTATAAAAGCATTCATGCCTTCCTTATTAACACTACTTTCTATACATTTGAATTTCTCCATTTCATTTTATTGAGCCAGGTCCCTTTGCTTGAAAGGAAACAAGATAGCATTTGTGATGTGACTGGACAAGTCATTTCTTTAAAAACTGTAGCTATTTTCCATGGGTTGTTTGGATTTCACGACATGAAGTATTATTACCCACATCTTTTCTCTCAATCTAATTATAATGAAATACTCGGTATCACTTTTAAAAAATAGGAATAGATTTTTAGTCTTTTTATGATTATAAAAATATCTGTTAATACATGAAAATACAAATAAAATATATTTTTAAAACAGTAAAAATATGAAATCACCCATAATCCTCTACTTTGAAATACATTGGTAAATATATTTTCATATATTTAATGCACATATAGTTATATGAATTATTAAAAGAGGCCCCCAATTTTCAGTTAGTCAATAGAGCATGAATTTCTTGCATGACAATAGATATAAGCATAATTATCTTAATGGTCCACTAGTAACCTATTATGTGGACATAGCAACATATATTATTTTATAATTTTATACCAATGAAGTTTAGAACATTTCAGGTCACATACCTAGGTTGCAGGTTCAATCCCTGGTCAGAGCACATATGGGAGGCAACTGGTCAATGTTTCACTCACATCAATGTTTCTCCCTCTCTCTCTCTCTAAAAATCAGTAAAAACATATTCATGCTCACTTTGGTAGTACATATACTAAAATGGGAACTATACAGAGATTAGCATGGCCCCTGTGCAAGGATGACACACAAATTCATGAAGCCTTCCATATTTTTTATGCTAAATGAAATAAGCCAGAAGAAGAAAGATAAATATCACATGATCTCACTCATTTGTGGAATATCATGAACAATATAAACTGATGAACAAAAATAGATCCAGAGACAGCCTCGGAGGGAAGGTGTGTGTGTGAGTGTGTGTGTGTGTGGGGGGGGAATATTATAAATCAACCAAAGAACTTGTATGAATGCATCTAAGCATAACCAAGGGACACAGACAGTAGTGGGGATGGGGTGGCGGGGGAGGGGCCAGAGCTGGCTGGGGAGAGGTCAATGGGGGAAAAAGGAGATATATGTAATAATTTCAACAATAAAAAATTTTAAAAGTACAAAAAAATGATAAATGAAAAAAAAATTTAAAAACACACAAACATATCATCGGGTGAAGATTTAAAAAGTTTAACTTTAGACCTCTAACAAACTCAATTTAAATAATGAAATAGAATAGAATGGAATGGGGAGTCAGCTTACTCCTTTAGAAAGAATTTACCATAAAGAGACAAATGAAGTTTGAGGAAGTCCTCAAAAGGGGAACATTTTTCATTAAAATCTTAATTTCTTTTAAAATATTAAAAGGAAACTTTAATATTGGAAACAACTAATTTACTAGGCTACTCCCTTAATTAAGTTTATAAGGAGATATTTTTTAAAATTCTTGAATTACCTAATAGATTTACAACCAGGATCACTTATCCTTGCTGAGTTATAAGGACTCAATTATCTTTCTCTTTTCCACCAGTTACTATGAATTAAAAACCTATAGTGTTTTTACATTATCCTTTCTCCTATCAAAAATACCACAGAACACTCTAACAAGCACATCTGAGAAATACTATAAAAAGAGCTAGATAACAGCAACTGGCATAGTTGAGGGATTGTGTGAGTGTGTGTGTTTTCTCCGTAGGCTCCAGAGTATTACTCTGTGCTAATGATTTCTGATTTTATTTTTAAGTTTTTGTTCATTTGTTTGTTTTGTTTTTACTTGTGGCAAGGCAAACTAAACTTATACTATTACTTTACGCACCAGCATATTAGAGCACTTTTTACTTGGTTCCATATCTGGAAAGAAAAACTGACCTAAGACCTTTTGCACTATCTAAAACTCTCCAGAACCTGTAAGAAAACAGGAAAACACACACAAACACACAAACACACACACACACACACACATTTACACACATCAGCACCATAATGAGACCACATAGGCTACAAGATGGAAATAACAGGCTTGGGTGAGTCCTGATGAACTGTACTTGTGATAGAAATATCCAAAAACATGGCCCTCCAAAGAAAGCCTCATGAACAGCATTTAACCTGTATGTCAGCTAGCATGTTTTCTCAGCAACAAGTGATAAAAGCTGAGCTTCCTGTCACCTGTACTATATTTTTTTCTACTGCAGGTTTTTAACAGAGGATTAACTATGAACTCTTAACTAAAATTAATAGCATTAACCTATTACTGTATTTTCTGGCATATAAGACGAAAAAAAGTCAACCGAAAATCGGGAGTCGTCTTATACGCCGAGTATATCCCGAAAAACGTCTTGATATGCTGCTAAACGAATTTTCCAACTCGATCCCGCACCAATCACTGCAAGGCTGCTCGGACCGCCTCTCTAACTCAGCCAATCCAAGCAGGCTTTTTATGCATGCAAATTATACATGTTCTGTACCCGAAGCTACACTGTGTTCTAGTAAAAAGCCTGCTCAGATTGGCCAGAGTCAGAGAGGTGGTCTATTAAAAAAAGAACTGGTGTTGCCTCGGAAGTGGGGGGTAGTTTTATACAGCGAATATAGACCAAAACCTATGTTTTAACTGTAAAATTAGGGGGTCGTCTTATACGCCAGAAAATACAGTAACTATCAGACTGGCCACATCTATATTACCAACCAAGTCACCTATAGACTCATCTCCTGTTCGCTGTGCAAGAATGGCAGTTCTGTTGTCTCCACCTCCTTTGTGAGCAGTTAATAAAAACCAGTGTTACCAAGCAGTATGTAGTTGGCCCATACGTGAGGATGGAATCGAAGTCTAACTAGAAGGGTTATTTCCTGGTTATTTGGTCTAGAGAAAGTAGTCTGTTTTGTACACTCTCTCAATTGCCAGACTGCTTCTTTGTTTTGGGTGGGTGGATCTGTCAGTTTTCGGCCTGGAATCCTCTTTCACTGATTTCGCACAAGTGGATGCTGCTGGCCATTTGGTTCTTCTCTACCTATCCCAAAGGAGCCCCAGGTGTCCCTCCCTGTCATAGGGCTGGGCTTTATTTCCTTCAAAATGCCCATCACCAACAGAAATATAAATATATATATATAATTTTGATTACTGGCTATTTCTCCCCAGGAGATTGTTTGAAACAAACCTTGTCTATCTTGTGACCAACTATAGTCCCAGGACCAAAAGAAAGGTTGGCCTATCAAGGCTTTGAATTATTATTCAAAGAATTAGCCATAACAGCCAAAGGAATAAACTGTTAGGAATATCTTATACTCTCATGTGTCAAATGCCGTCAAAATTAATCTACAACGAAAAAGCTGTGGTCAGGTAGAGTAACTTGTTTAAAATTAAAACCTAGACATTCATAAAATCTGCTGCGTTAGCTCAATTTGGATTAGAATAAGTTTATTCCTATTTTATTGTTCCTTTTCATCTATTTCTCATAGGAGGAAAAGAGTGCCTCAACCACAACTATTAAAACTTGACCCTGTGGTTCTTATCCCTCAGGCTACACCAGGAAAAAAATATACCAATTAAAAATGCTAGAGATGTTCCTATTCTTTCAAAATAGTACTTACTGATTTCCAAATGGACTTTCAAATGAAATTTAAAATAACCTGGGTTTCCTCTTGACTCCCTCATCATTTTGAGGTTTTCCTCAACTTTCATATGGAGCACACCTACAATTACTGTTTTAACATTCTTTTGTCTGCTAGTTTCATCTAATTGCTGGGTGATTTTCTGGATCTGTTTTTTCTTTTCATCTGATTATAATCACATTTTCTGCTTCTTTGCATGCCTGCTTAGTTTTGTGTTTGATGTCATCTTTATGAATTTTATATTGTTCTTTGCTGGGTTCTATTGTATTCCTTTAAATAGCATTGGATTTTTTCCTGATATGCAGTTAAGTTCATTGGAATCAGGCAAATCATTTTGTGGCTTGTTTATAAGTCTTACTGGGGTGCATGTCAATATCAGCCTTTTGCACACAGCCAATTTACCCCTACAACTAAGGTGAAACTCTTCTGAGCATATTACACCGTGCCCTGTGTATTACAAATTATTTCCACTTGGATAGTGAAAACAAGCACAGCCAGTTTGAGCTCTGAGAACTTATTTGGCCTATTCTCTGTGATGTGTTCCCACCCTTTACCCCCATTTCAGTTAGCTTTACAGAGATCAGTATTTAACCAAAGATTTGTGGGAGATCTCTGCAGATCTCCAGAGCTCTGTCCTTATTCTGCCATCTCCTCACTGGCCCACTATTCTACAAATTCTAGCTGACTTGGCCTTTGAGCACTTAAACTTCTTTCTCCTCAATTTAGCAAGCCCCCTGGTCTCTGATTGCACTCTCCCTAAGCTAAGCAGTAAAGTATGCAATTGGAGACCTCATTTTTTTTTTCTTTAGGGGATCACAATCCTGTTATCTTTTGTCTGCTGTTTTATTAGTATACTAGAGACCTGATGCATGAAATTCATGCAAGGGGCTTGGCCCTCTCAGCAGCGGAGGCTTACCTCAGCCTTCACAGCCCCAGCTTCATCTGGGAGATTGTCTGGTCTAATTAGCATATTATGCTTTTATTATTATAGACTAGAGACCCAGTGCACAAAATTCACGCAGGTGGGGGGATCCCTTAGCCCAGCCTGCAACGACACAAGTGTTTCATGCCCAGCCTGGCCAGAGGCCCTCATGTTTGGGCATGGAATGCTTGCCTCATCCCCGCAGTGACAAAGCAATCATTCCACCAGGCCACTCATCCCAGGACTGGGAGACTCTGGCAGGACTTAGAAGACTGGGAGCTGCCATTTTGTGGCTATGGGCATAGCCATATTTGTGGCAGAGGAACGGTCAATATTCCCTTTTTATTATATAGGGTGGCCTGGTTTTCTATTTGCTTCTGATGGAATATCCCTCCATCTTAGATGGGAGGAAAGGGACACATAAAAAGCATTAAAATCGTGTTCAAAAACTTTGTATTGGCATTGACTCCATTTCACTGGTGAAATGCAGGAATAGTAAAAGGCACAATATTTGAAGTCCAGGAAAGAGAAATACATTGAGAAACAAGAAACAATGGTATGCTTTTTAAATCATCCCTTCAAACATCCTAGCATCTAGAAAAAAACATATCTGGGTGTGCTGGATCTAATTTTAGTTGTTTAAGGGAATGAGGATATTTCCTAGAACTCTTTTTTCTCTTTAGTCAAATGACACTTTTCCAAACTTTGAATCCCTACTAAATTAGGGCAATCATTTTTAATCAGGAAAAACAATTATTTCAGAGACTTAAAATGATAAATCCTGTCCTGACCTGATTTTATTTTCTAGAAGGAGAAGAAGTTTTCTAGGAAGTCACTTTTGTTCCATCTTCCTCACAGAATCAATTAACTGTTCCACAATGACAAAAGAAATGTCATTAACATAATATTTCTATGTCCTCTCTAGTCTGCAGTGTTCCTCTCATATTAAAATTGCTTTCTAAAAGCATTGCATAATTTGTGCCTCTTTCAACAAGACTGGAAATTTCATACTTGTGAATTACCCAAATTTACACCCCAGAGACTCTTAAGTGCCTACATATCCCCAAAGAGTCATTGAACTCACCAGCATTTGCTTCTAGTAACTCATTCTTCTTGCCAAGCCCTTGATGTACTCATCACTCTGCTGATCCACCTCTATATTTGTTCCAAGATGAGAGATGCTTTGAGAGGTACTCAGCTCTATAAGTCTGTTGGCAAAAATAGTGCCATACTGATGGTTTAGCAGTAACCAATGTGGGAT